AAGAGGAGGGGGAGATAAGATGCAAGGGAGTTGAGCGAAGAAGAAGAGCTTTGACATTGGTTCTTGCTGGTGTACATTGTCTTTTCCAATCTTTTCTACTTCTTCTTCTTCTTCTTATCCTCTCCATCCTCTCAAGTTCATTCGTTTCCTTTTGCAGTTGGTGAACATTGTGCTGATTGGTGAATTTGTACTTCGCAATTGGTCCGGGTCATAACAATAATAATTAATCATCGATCAATAAAAGTTAATAATTATTAATAACGAATTTTAAATTGTCGGTAGATTAGGTGTCCGTTGGGATCACCTATGGTCCGGGAATTCACCGCTGTTAGTGAACTTCCCGGAAGTTGCAGTTCTGAGGTAAACGATTCCAAACAGTCTGCCAAACGAAAAAAAATAAAAATTCGGACAATTAGGAAAAAGAAAAACACTCGAATTTTTGAAAAACGTGCAATTTCGGGAATTTCAACGTAACAGAGTCCGATTTTCAGAAGGCCGACGTCCGCATTCGGGAATTCAAGAATTAGGAAAAAGAAAAAAAAAATCGTGAAAATTTTGGACCTCAACCCTAATTTTTCGCGATTTTGCAGAATTTCCGGTTTACACAACTTTACAGTTCCAGAAAATACGAATTTTCCCCCAATGTGGAAAACCGAAAACTTTTATCGCAACCCTAATATGATACCGAATTAAAACAGAATACCGAATTATGCAAGGAAGATGAGCAATAGCGAACTTCAGCAATCAAACAGCATCATACATATGAGACCAGATAGTCGTGACCTCGAACCAACAGCAGAATTGCATCACGAGTTTCACGAAACAAGAGCACACCAAGAGTTCATAATTGACAATGCTGAAACAGTCCCATCATCATCAACGAAGAACCAAAGTTGATATCCTATCTGGCTGTCGGCGCCCAGACTACGTATGGCAGATCCTATCTAGCCTATACTACAATGCTGAAGTTGACCACAACAGCTCTCCCGAAGTACGAGCAGATAGGGGCCAATGCCGCACGCTTCCAGCACCAGGTATGTCTCTCGCCTCACTCACAACCTCGTTCCTCAACACACAGATGCCACTTCCACCCAAAGACCACCCTGCGCCACACCCAGCTTACAGCAGCGCAGCTCGGCTATGGCTGCCTGCTCCGTCCTGCTCGTCCGTGAGCACGTGAGTGCCAGCAAGCTTTAGCGCAGCAGCGCTTGCGCAGCATGCAGTCAGCACCCGAATCCCCAATGTGGAGGCAGGCCCTTTGCTATATTGAAGTGGCCTGCCTGCGTTCAGTCCAAGGAAGCTTCCAGTAGGCCCCGGTAGCCTGAGGCCCAGCACGATAGAGAACAGGCCTTGGGCCTGAGGTGGTTGCATGCGCCCAACTGCCTTTGACCTGTGTTTGGCCCAGTACCCGTATCCAGCCCAGGGCCTGCTTTCCATACATTCACACAGGCGGCCCAGGGCCTGGGTTCTCTCAACCAACTGGCGCTGCGCAACTGCCTGAATTTCCTTAGTTGCGCAGTGGTCAAAATAGGGCCCCGTGGGCCTCGTCGAGCCTGCCTTCACTTAGGGCGGCCGACTTGCTCCAAAAAGGGGCCGAATGGGGCTCATAGAGGCAGTAGCCTCGCAATTAAAACAGAATACTGAATTAAAACAGAATACCGAATTAAAAAAAATAGAATTTTGCAACTTGAATTTCGATAATAGTGCAGAACTAATTCGGAAAAAGACAATGCTAATTGAGCAATCGATTCCCTAATCAGAATTGCCTTGTGAGCAGATCCATTTAATTGGTCTGCTCCGATACCAAACTGTTGCATACTAGTGAATACTTTACCAAGTATGGGCAGAACCAAAGATCAACCAATATAGGATGAGCATGTATACAGCGGAAGTCTGAGAAATGGACTGACTCACATTGACTGGACTTACCCCAACATCACTCAACACACAAGCAATCGTGAGATGGTGGGGTCTGAAGCCATACATAGACGATGCTTCAGGCCCCGTACAACCATACACAGATGAATGGTGGGAGGAGAGACAATGGAGGTGGGAGATATGGGCAGCGCCAGATGTCACCGAGATAGAATCCAGAAAGTCACCGATATGGTAGCCCAAATTGTCAACGAACAAAATCAGAATGTCATAGACATAAGTCACCAATGTCGGAGGTACAGAATCCTAATGCAACCGATGCCCGATCTGTGATGCCGCCAGGTATCACTCCCAACTATCTCCAATGTCTCGAATCAAGTATCGCAGCCTCCTACCACCGAAGTCCAACCACTGATCTCTGTCCAACTCGTATCAAGTCTCCAGTCTGAAGAAGAAGAAGAAGAAGTAGAAGAAGTCTGAGGAAGAAGAAGGAGAAGTCTGAAGAAGAAGAAGAAATAGAAGAAGTCTGAGGAAGAAGAAGGAGAATTCTGAAGAAGAACAAGAAGAAAGGGGCAGAGCATGGGCGGAGATGGCGAGTAGCTCCAGGCCCTACCTGATGGGACAAGGTGGCGCCTTGGCTGCTGCGGGAGACGGCTGTGCTGCTGGGAGCTATGGCGCTCGTGGCTGCTGTCAGGTAAGTCTCCCTCCTCGCTCTTCCTTACTGCAGTGCGCTAAAGTTAGCGCTGCAGTTCCCAGCGCTGCGCTGAACCCAGAATAGCGCAGCGCGGTCGCTCCTCAATGACGCTGCTCCAAGATGCAGGAAAGGTCGCTGGACCGGCCTAAGTACCGTCCGGCGGCCGGTCGGCCTCAATGCTGCCCAGCGCGCCGTGATCTGGATCATCAAGATTGACGATTCAGATCATACAGCGGCAGCCTCAAGAGCGCCGCCAGGCCCAACTGTAATGTTGTTTGGGCCTAGACCTGGTCTGCTGCAGGAAACCATCCGGTGGCCTCAATGCGGCCTACCGGGAGAAGGGTCCGGCCTTTGGATGGGCCGGCCTAAGTACCCCTTAGCCTAGTGGTCGGGTCCGAAAGGAACCCGTGTGGCATCAGTATGTAACAGTCAGTCTGTAGGCTCTAGAAGGTTGTAGGTCCCTGTAGGCCAGTCCAGTCAGCATGTACCAGGGGTAGAGGCTGCACATGAGGAAACAGGGAGGCCCACGCGTTCTGGAGAAGATCCCAGAATACGCATTTTGGGGCCCAGCTGCTGTACACGTTTTGACCCAGGGAGTTCCACACGGTTTGAGCCTACCAGGCCCACGCGGTTTGTAAACTTCCAGACCAGGGCCTCACACGTTGTGGCCCAGGCCCACACGTTTTGAGGCAGTGCCCGGGTACCTCTGAAGAAGTATAAATAAAGAGGCAGCGTCCAGCCATTCATTCATTCGCCTGTGTGCCATGCGGAAGAGCTGCCTTGGTATCTTGTGCGTGGAGGACTGCAGGTGCCCGGAGAAGAAGTGGGCTGTGAAGAAGACAGCGGCCATAGCGAACCAGCGAGAGAGACACCGGCGGCCATAGCTAGGAGGAGGAAAACGACGGTGGCCATAGCCGCCCAGCTGTTGGTGTAGACAGGGTGTACAGAGTGTGTGCGTTTGTGCAGCGTGGACATTCAGGTTGATCCTCGTACGTGCGTGCATGTGAGAGTGAGGGAGAGTGAGCCTGGTGGTAGACACAGTGTTCGGCGGCCATAGCCGCAAGGTGTATAGTTGATCTGAACAGAGTTTAAGAACAAATTCATTGTTGATTCTGAGTTGACGAGTTTGGTCTGCCATCGGTTCTCATGTTTGCATGTTGTGAGCAAGTCCAGCGTCGAGTCCGATTGCATTGGTATAGGAGCTGGTACCCGTTGTCCACGCCGGCAGAGCTGCAGCAAGAGAAGAAGAAGGAAGAAGCCATCATAGTCGGAGCTCAACACACACAGAGAGAGAGAGAGAGAGAGAGAGAGAGAGAGAGAGAGAGAGAGAGAGAGAGAGAGAGAGAGAGAGAGAGAGAGAGAGAGAGAGA